TTCTCCAAAATGTGTAACATCCATTGGCCAAATTTGCAGTGGTGAGGTGTCATGTGGGTTAAATCCCAATTGTGGCAATGGGGCATGTCAGGCATGTCAAGATAATATTACGTGCTTGATCAGTGGGTAGCTGAAATTGCTTTTGCAGTGCCTTCCTGTTTTGGTGAAAGAAGTGATGTGAGAGCTGTGCTTGTTGAAATAATTGCGGTGTGGCGAGTGCAACTGTGGCTTTGTCTGCAGCACAGCTGCCCTCAGCTAGGGGTCCTGGAAGAAAGGTGTGTGACCGTATATGTGTGATATAATAGGGTAATTTACGGTAGGAAACATAGTGCCTTAATTTTTTAAGTTGTCCGAATAACTCTGGATTGTTGACTTCCTTTAGGAAGGCACCTTCTATACGCTGAACAATTGCTGTAACATACAAAGAATCAGTTATGATATTGAGATTTACATCAGAAAAAAGCTGAAAAGCACGCGCAACATTGACACATTTAATATCTTGTTTCCAGAGATTGTCAGTGGATCGCCAAAGGACCGTTGCTCTGTGCGTTTTCCCAGAACTGTCTGTGAATGCTGTAACTGCATTAGAGAGAGGGGTATGAGAAAGTAAGGTTCGATTAGTCAGGGGTAATCCTTCTCAAGAATTTAACAGAGAACGTTTAGGTAAATGGATTAAAATCTGACCAGTGTAGTCTGCGAGTGCTGTCTGCACACTGAGAGACTCTGCTAACATCCAGTCCAAGTCTTTTTTGTTGGTGGGAATATAAATGAATTCTGGATCACTGGCTTTTAGAGTCAGAAGTCGGTGGTGACCTTTCTGAATCAAGTTGGCAAACATTTCTAATCATGAAGTTACAGTTTTTGTAAATCCATGAGGCAAAAAGAGCCACTCTATTATTATAAGTGGGTCTTCTTTTACTGAATCCCACTGGCTTAGAAGGGCATATGGCTGAAAGGTATTTTGAATGATGACTAAGTACACTGGAAGGGTTAAACATAGACGATGACTTTGACATGTCTGTAAAGCCTCTATTACTTGCTGTAGACATTGCAGTCCAATAGGTGTCAGTTGTCTTTTAGAATTTAAGTCAGGGTCACCTTTTAACAATTGAAACAGAGGGTGCAGATCTTGTGTGGTGATACCCAGAAAAGGTCTGAGCCAGTTTATAGTTCCCAACAATTTTTGCAGATCATTCAGAGTCTTTATTTGTAATACCAGTTGCAGTGCTTGTGGCTGGATGGTGTGAGTTGTAATCTTCCATCCTAGGTATTTCCAGGGTGGTGCACGTTGGACCTTTTCCTCAGCTATCTGCAAGTCTGCTCCTTGGACAGCATGGCAGACTTGGCAGACGACTGTCTGTGGGTCTTTGTCCTTTTTGGCAGCTATAAGTATGTCGTCCATGTAATGATAAATTACAACATGAGGGTTTGCATTTCAGACAGGTTGTAAAGCATTTGCTACAGTTAATTGGCAGATAGTCGGGCTATTTATCATACCTTGTGGTAACACAGTCCACTGATATCGCCGTGTCGGCTGTTCCTGATTGACAGATGGTACAGAGAATGCAAACTGGGGTGCATCCTTTGGGTGCAGAGGAATAGCAAAAAAACAGTCTTTGAGATCAATGATGGCTATTGGCCAATTTTGAGGCAGCATAGAAGGTGAAGGAAGACCAGGCTGTAGCGCACCCATGGGCTCAATGACGGCATCATCGGAGTCGACTCAAAATCCTCAAAATCCTAACTGCATAAGTGCTGTAGGCTTTAGGCTGGACCCTAAAATACTGATGAAAAAAATCTGGCAACTGGGCTCTGGCTGCTGCCTGGGAGACCAAGGCTCTGTTCTTACTTGACTGTTTGTCTGCTGTGCCACATCTCACAGCACAGCATCCTGTTCCTGTGCTCAGCAACATCAGTGGAGGCCCAGCAATGGAGTTCGCTGATTTAGGGTTATGATGTGGGGCTAGGGTACAGTGGGTGAAGACTGCAGTCCCATGGCTCCAAGGAAAGTGTTATCTACGTATATCGTAGCTTCATCCTTTTAGCAGCTAGGCTCTTCTGCTCATGGGGTTTCTGGAGAAGGTCAAGTCATTGTTATGTCAGAGGGGCGCTAGAGGTGAAAAGTGACAGCTTGCATCAAATAAAGCACTTGGTCTCGCTGGTGGGAGGGATAAAGACTGTCAGGAACAGAGGTGTCAAGTCAGCAGACTGGAGGAAGATTCAGCCATACTTTTAGGGAGGTGCATGAGGCACAGCACAGGAGTCTTCCGCACAAATTCTGACTCCTTCAGGAGTTCTGCTGCTGTGAAAGAGAGTATGTAGGATAAAACCCTTGACGTAAAGCTCAGAAAATGCTGAGTCAGTACCATTTTGCCTCGTGCACATACCCATTCAGTTCTTGGGCTTTTCCTTTGCCTTACAGGTGAATCATCACTGAATCCAAGCCCAGACAGCTCTTGGCCATACCTAGATGGGACTCTGACCCAATGCAGGGTCTGAATTATAAGCACAGAGTCAAGTTTTCAATCAAAGAGTTCCATGGGCATGATCTAGCAATTCCTTTGTGAACAATGGCTATTAGGTAGACCTTCACTTGCCATAATAAAGGAGGCGATAGCCTTTATCATACCTCCAACAAGAGCTGTGAAAGGTTAAAGTGACAGGGATGCCAGTGGTTGCTACTTCCTTGCTCCTCTCTCACTGCTGGTTCCTGTAGGCTTACAAAAATCCAGGTCTAGAGTAAGTCTAGGCTGCTGCAGGGCCTTGGGGCTTTTGTGGTTTCTTTGGCTGCATAAGTCTACCTGCCAGTTCTCTTTTCACGGATACATTGTGGCACCTTATTTCCTGACTCTGATAATAGGTATGAAATACAATGCTCCATTTCCTCAGTCCTTATTTACCAACTAAAAACTACACTGTACATTGAATCCCTGTCACCAAAATGCAGGTGGATGCACACCCAGCCATCTTCCTTGCTATGAGCAGGCTAAAACATAAAACATTTTTCTTTATGTGTGCACAGGTCCCCTATAGTTCCCAATCTGTTCCTGAGAGAGCTGTTTTCCCAGTTTATTCAAAGGTCACCATAGCAGTTTCCTGGGCACTTGTTTCTTGCACAAAAATTGACAGTATTAATTCCTCTGCTAATCATTGTGTGGGATGTTGAGTCAGATAATACCAACTTGTTTCCAGGTTCAGTCGGGTGACTAATTTTCCAAGGATTTTTGAAAATCCTAGACACAGACATTTTAAATGGACCACTTCAGGCCTTTGAAGTCCGGTGTCATCATAATGTGTAGAAATTACAGTTATTTAGAGACTTATGGTAGCACGTAAACCAATGATATCAACCCTGCTATATTTCTTTTACATGGAGCATACTGGAATCAGATAGAATCATAGAATTGTCTAGGTTGGAAGGGACCTTTAAAATCATCTAGTCCAACCATCAACCTAACTGTTAAAAAAAATAAATCACTAAACCATGTCACTAAGCACTATGTCAACCCATCTTTTGAATACCTCCAGGGATGGCACCTCAACCACTTCCCTGGGCAGCCCATTCCTATGCTTAATAACTCTTTCAGTGTAAAAATTTTTCCTAACATCCAGACCGAACCTCCCCTGGTGCAACTTGAGGCCATTTCCTCTTGTCCTATTGCCTGTGACATAGGAGAAGAGACCAACCCCTGTCTCTCTACAACCTCCTCTCATATAGCTGTAGAGAGCGATAAGGTCTCCCCTCAGCCTCCTTTTCTCTAGGCTAAACCCTCAGCCTCTCCTCGTAAGACTTATTCTCCAGACGTGTCACCAACTTTGTTGCAATTCAGCTCATCCACTGTCCCTTCATTGCCCTTCAAATTATCCAGCTTCCCTGAAACCCAAGTTCCTGGTTTGCTCTGCTTCTGCCTGGTTGTTGGCTCTGTTCTCTCATGAGAAAGTGCAACAGAGTCCTATGAATTCAGCTTCCTAATTCATTTTGGCACAGGAAGTTATGCCTAGATCTTGAAGAAGTTGCAACATTGATTCCAGGAAGGCCTGAGAACTTCATTGCTATGAAGAAGCTTTTTGCAGCTGAGGCAGTGGGAATGACTATTAAGAAACAGAGCTGGAACAGAACTTGCCTTGGATCTTGTATCAAATTTTTTACTTTTCTAACAAGCTGCAGGAAGGAGAGCTGGAGAACTGCTGTAGTCTGAGGCAGTGTCACTTGCTCTCCCACATCACACCCTCACATCAGCCAATGTTAATTTTTCCTGGTATTTTGCTACAGCAGCCTTCAAACGTCATTAGCCCTGTGGGCAATTCCACTTTACATTTCAGTGCATCAAACACTGCATGCAAACTGACTCCTGGCATAAGGAAGCTGTAGTGCCACTTAGAAGATATGGTTTCGAGTCTCAGTTCTGATTTTCAAGATCTTTTTTAATTTCCTGAATGGCAGGCCTAAAATTAGCACTCAGCAAAGCTGTAGCCTACTTTCATAGGAAACAAAAGAAGTGGTCTTGAGGGTTGAGGAAAGTTCTGAAAAATTTGTCTAACCCCTTGTGAGCAGAGGTGGGGCGAGGGAGGGAGTCTGGTGACACTTTCAGGGGGAGGGGTATCCAGTGATACCATGAAGCGAGTGACACCATTTCCTTCCAGCACCTCCACTGGTACTGTGGGGCAGCCTAGGACTGGGGATGCTGGTGTTTAGTGGGTCTGGTGAGCTCAGCTTCTTACTGTCCTGACAACAGGCAGGGAGCAGGTCCTTAGTAGGGAGCCCTACATTCCTCTCTAGGAATAAAAACCAAGCAGTTTATGCCTTTCACTGGAGAGAGGTAGCTGAGCAGATACCGTGAAAACCTCAAAGGCCTAAAAGGCTTCAGTGTGGAAGAACAGAAGAGCAGGGTGTAAAGCGGCACTTCTTCAATGTAGATTTTGAGGCATCGCCAAGGCATATTATTCACATTTTCTTTTGTCTTTTTTCCCTCGTAACTAAGTCTTATTTTTATCTGCAGCTCAATATTTTGCTAGCATCATGGTCATCGTTGGTCTGTCTGTGGTGGTAACAGTTCTGGTTCTGCAGTTTCACCATCATGACCCACAAGCAGGCAAGATGCCCAAATGGGTAAGCAGTTTTTATGGTAAATATTCAGAAGCCTACTGAAAGAATAAAATAATCTAGAAGTTATGGAAAAGTAGTTATAGGTGAGGGGCAAAAAGTGTCCATCAATCTGAAGAGTCAGCTCTAGAAGAGTCAGTTTGACACTCATGATTGCTGTTGGAGGGAAAGAACAATCATACTAAATTTAGTTTTCTATTATAAACCGTGTCTGTTACTGGGTTATCTATTTAAGCCTACAATGGGGTGGTTGACTCATGGCAGACTAATCTTGCTCAGCACCTGCTTTGCAACTATGAACCCTGCGGGAAACACCTTTGATTTCTTATCCAGCAGACACCAGTACCGATAACATGTGACGTTACAAAACACTGGTCTCTGCTGTGCAGTTTCTCTGCTTTGTTTCCTTACAGAAGTTTTCACTGCATTTCATGACAGAGCTGTAACCTCCCAAAATAAAGACAAGAGGTGAAGCCAATTGACTGCTCTCTTGCAGCTGTTCCAATTACTAGCTGGGTCCCTGAATTTCAGGAAGATCAGGAACCCCCTAGCTATGGTTCTCACATCACTGCTACTGCACCTGGAGAAGTAGTAGAAAGGCAAAGCTGTTGAGTTCAATCTGACTGTACTGAGGAGACCCTGGACTTCCCTGGCTTTGAAATGGGCCTCCTGCTGAAGGCACAGCCACTTGCTTGTGTGGAAAAACAATTTTGTCGGCTGTTGTCTGATGAATTCTTTTCATGTGGACCCTCTTTTCTCTAAACATTCTGTTAGCCTAGTGAGGTCAAGAACTAATGTCAGCTACTTCAAGGATGAATGTGTTCCTTAAAACTTTCAAGTTAAAAGAAAATGGTGGGGTTTTCTCTCCCCATTTCATAAGAATAGGTTTTAGACTAAGCAAGGTAGGCTTTGTATTTACAAAAAGAAAAGGAATAAAACCAGAAGCAGGTACAAATAGTCACAGTCAGCTATTTGTCATAGTAGAAAACTACCATGACATTATGTTGAATGTCACATAGTTACCAATTTCAGCCTGACTACAGAAGAGCTTTCTAATTTAGCTAAATTTAGCTTTCTAATTTCTCTAAAAATAAACTGCAGCATCAATGCAAATTAAAAATAAATAAATAAGGTCCAGAAGCAATTAATCTTTCTTACAATTATTTGTGAAAGTGATGTATTATTTAAAATCATCTTACTTTCAAGATAGCAGTGCATGCGAATTCTTGATGAACCTGCATGTAAGCAGGACCTCAGGGCAAAAATCTGGGTAACCATGCTTCAGATGTCCATATGGGCAGCATATGCAGAAGCATAACAGCCCCCATGGGCAATTTTATTGTTTCATCTTCTTTTCAAGGAGGCTAAACACAATTGCTCATGTTAAATTGACTTGCAGTCCCTGCAAGTTAGCTCTTGCTGTCTTGGCTGGAAACACAGCATGCAATAAATTCTTGCTCTTGAGTGTCCTTGTTCAGTGGCCTGACAGCTGAACAGGCAGTCATTAAAAAAATGCCATCAGGAAGCAAAGACTGTGGAAAACATTACTCAGAAGCACAAATGATAAACTGTGAAAGCTGTAGACCAGGCAAGCTGACAGGACTGAGAGATTTCAAGAGAAAAAGGGCAAATGCCAAATGCACAGAGAAGAGGCTGACCCCATGAAAGTGGTCAATAATCCTCTGCAATGCAGGGGCAAGGCTCAGTCATTAGGATTCGTGGCAAAGTCTCCTTTTTCCACCCTCTGTCCACCACTAACAACAGGATTCATAGAATGCTCAGATTTCAGCCAAACCCTCTGAAGAGCAATTTTTTGGGAAACAATTCCGTATGCACTCTCTGAAGTTAGGTCATTTGATGACCCTGACAAGAAACATATGGGGCACAATCTGCTATGTGTAGGTTAGAGCACTTTCATGATGTGCCAGAGCAGTTGTACACCAGAGCCGACAGAAATGACAAGAGTTAATAGTAGCATTCGGATTTTGAACTGCCCGATTTAATTGATTTAGTATTATTCTTTTGAAAAAAGGCCTGCCATTTCATGTGGCTGAACTCTTCAAAGGAGTATTGTAATGGCATACAAATAACAAAAAAAACCAAAACAAATACAAACAAGGCCATTTATTTAGACCTAAAGAATAGAGATTGGGGTGGGGAATGTGCTAAAAAATGCTGTTAGTCTATTGTATAGTTTTTCTTCAGGGGAAACGAAGCCTGAGCCCCACCCCCCAAATATTTAAGTGTAGATCTTTCTGTACTGTCTGAGAAATGGATGAACACCACCCAGCCCTATGTTCAATTACAAAGATCTAGGATTGTTTGCTAAAGATAGACCTTCAAGAATCATTTTGTGAAGTAAGAGTTTACATCTCTTCCACTTTATAAGCTCAGTGAGTGTTAAACACATCATTCTTAGAAAGAAGTCAGATGTCAAAAAAAAGAATATTTGAAAGCAGATAGCTGAAGCACCATACAGACTGAGTGTAATAGTCATGAAATGTTTCAAAAAAATTTTAAAATGCAGAAAAGTTCCCTTTATTTCTATTATCACTGCTCTCTTTCAGATCCGTGTCATCCTGCTGAATTGGTTTGCTTGGTTTTTACGAATGAAGAAACCAGGAGAAAATATAAAACCCCTCTCTTGCAAATATAGCTATCCTAAGCAACTTGTGAGCGTAAACAGCACGGAGATAAATGTCCTACCTGGGCACCAGTCTAGCAATGGCAACACAATCAATAGCTACCACACAATGGATAATCCATGCTACCCCCAAAAGAATGATCTGAGTAGCAAGAGCGGAAAGATTACTTGCCCCTTATCAGAAGATATTGAGCTTGGTCAAAAGAAAGCTTTAAGTGATAGGCTTCCGGTAATTATGAAGATCCTGGAGGAAGTTCAGTTCATAGCAATGCACTTCAGGAAACAAGATGAGGGTGAAGAGATCTGTAGTGAGTGGAAGTTTGCAGCCGCTGTCATAGATAGATTATGCCTGGTTGCATTTACCCTTTTTGCAATCATTTGCACATTTACAATACTCATGTCTGCTCCAAATTTTATAGAAGCTGTTTCAAAGGATTTTGCATAAGGATTTCAAAGATAAGCAATATAATTTCAAAGTGGATATTGCCAGTAATTTTGCTAGATGATTAACTCAAATAAAGAAGTGTACTTATATGTGCTAAAATACACAGAAGGGGATGAAAATAATTTCAGGAGGTAATTATTCCTGATGTTAGTAATTGTAGTTATTGAATAGTAAGCATATTATCTGTTACTTATTTAATAGACTAGTGCCACATGTAATTATGTCATTATCTGTGATAACTGAGAGACCAAAATTCAAATCTACATTTTATATATTACAACTTATCACACGGGTCAATATATTACTGTGAATTTGTGAACTTTTTGATATTGTTAGTAGTTTAACTGATTGGTCACTATTAACTTCACAGCATTTTTTTTGTTTCAGTATACTTGTGTTTTATCATTTTTGTTTAATGTGGCTGTGACATTCACTTCTCAGATTTGACAGACCTATATATCCTCACAGTCTTATGATGCTGTATATTGTATTTAAGAAAATAAACTATCATCGTGTTCGCTCTTACTAGTGCAGTGACTGGAATGTTTTCACAATAAAGGACAACTGTGATTCAATTTTTGCCTGAAAATCTCCATTTTTGAATGTAATCACCAGTGACAGGATAAAAAGATAAAAGCTAATGTTAAAGCACACAGTCACAATAACTTAGCATCCTAGTGCAAAGCATCGTTCCTTATATGAAATGCAGAGTTGTTGCATAAGGGTTTTTTTAACTGGATGCACACGGCTTAGGGTCAGAGGACCCTAAGGACCTATCAGTAAACAGTAGTGTAAAATTAATTTCAATAACATTTTTGTTTTAAAAAGTTATAGATTACAACCTTATACCATTAGACTGCCACAGCTGGGTTGCCTTTTATAGAATTGTCCTAAAACTCAAATTGTATTAGTAGTATGGGACTCTTTAGTCTGGAGAAGAGAACACTGAGGGGAGACCTTATCAACGCCTAGAAGTATCTCAAGGGAGGGTTGAAGGAGGAGGGAGCCAGACTCTTTTCAGTGGTTCCCACTGAGAGGACGAGGGGCAACGGGCACAAGTTGGAACATAAGAGGTTCCACTCAAATATGAGGAAAAACTTCTTCACAGTGAGGGTGACGGAACCCTGGAACAGGCTGCCCAGGGAGGGTGTGGAGTCCCCTTCTTTGGAGATTTTCAAAACCCGCCTGGATGCAGTCCTGAGTAACATGCTCTAGCTCTAGGCAATCCTGCTTCAGCAGGGGAGTTGGACTAGATGATCTCTATGGTCCCTTCCAACTCTAGAAATTCAGTGAAATTCAGTGAAATTCAGTATGCAGTTTACAAATCCCTACACTAGATTGAAACTGCTTGCTGTTTCATTTTTTAGATGAAAAACCAAGGCAGATTGTTTTGATACCCAGTTCTCACTTGGTTTTTTGGAAGGTAATAACATTGTTACCACTAAATTTTTAGAATTACTTAGTGTAGAAGGGCACAGGAAAAAGTTAACTGTACATACAGAACATTGCAGCATAAAGTGCAAAAACATTTGGGATTTTCCTCAGAAATACCCTATACTTGGAAAGATTCATGCAGCATCTGTACATAAGGATTCACAGTTCTTCATCACTTCATCACTTAGTGTCACAGACTATCTGTCGAGGTATTATATAATTCTGAAAGAAGAAAAATTCCCAAATCAATTACAAAGGGTACATGGCAACAAGACACTAGCCCATAATGTCTTTTACAAAATCCAGGCACTTAAGCAAACTTTACATAACGAGTTATGGTGTTATCTCTCCCTCTCATCCCTTGCCCAGTGATAGGGATTTTGATAGTAAAGGTTCTTGCGCTCTTTCCCAGAAGTCATGGTAGACTTCTGGTGTGGAGGTATTCAGCATAAGATTATTATCTGCCCTGATTTATTCATCAACACAAAGAACTGTAGGTATCATCAAACAGAATCATAGAATGCTTTGGGTTGGAAGGGACCTTGAAAAACATCAGGTTTTAAACCCCTGCTGTGGGCAGGGACACCTTCCATTACATCAGGTTTCTCAAAACCCCATCCAGCCTGACCTTGAACACTTCCAGCAATGAAGCATCCACAAGTTCTTTGGGCAACTTTTTCTAGTGTCTCACCACCCTCAAAATAAAGAATTTCTTCCTAATATCTAATCTCTATCTAACTTTTTTCAGTTTAAAACTATTAACCCTCATTCTGTTGCTTCATTCACCTGATAGAGACAGACATCCAACTCACTGCAACCTCCTTTCAGATAGTTTTAGAGAGCTTCCTTTTTTCCAGGCTAAACAACCCCCATTCCTTCATTTACTTCTTATAAGACTTGTGCTCTAGACCCTTGCCCTTCTCTGAACACTCTCCAGCAGCTCAATGTCTTTCTTCTAGTGAGACCCCAAAAACTGAACACAGTCCAGATCATCAGTGATGAGTACGAAGGGATGATCACTTCCTTAGTCCTGCTGGCCACACTATTTCTGATACAAGACTGGATGTTGTTGGCCTCCTTGGCCACCTGGGCACACTGCTGGCTCATACTCAGCTGGTTGTTGATGAAAGCCCCCCAAGTCATTTTCCCTAGGCAGCTTTCTAGCCACTCTTACCCAAAACTTTAGCTCTGTATGGGGTTGTTGTGACCCAGGTGCAGGACCCAGCACTTGGCCTTGCTAAACTTCATACCTTTGGCCTCAGACCATCCATCCAGCCTGTGCATATCCCTCTGTAGAACCTTCTTACCCTCAAGAAAATTAATACTCCTGCCTAAGTTGGTGGTCTGATCACCTGATTGTCCTGTTTGTGCCATGTAATGGCACTGAAGATCATCTGCTCCATAACCTGGCGGGGCGTTGAGGTCAAAATGACAAGCCTGTAGTTCCCTGGATCCTCCTTCTAGCCCTTCTTGTGGATGAGCGTCACATTTGCTAGCCTCCAGTCAACTGGGATCTCAAGGGTTAGTGAGGACTGCTGATTAATGATGGAAAGTGGCTTGATGAGCACATCCACTACCTCCCTCAGTATCCTTGGGGGGATCCTGTCCAGCCCCACAGATCTGTGTGTGTCTAAGTGTTGCAGCAGGTCACTCACCACTTCTTAAACTGTGGGGACTTCATTCTACTCCCCATCCCTGTCTTCTAGCTCAGGCTGGCTACTCAGGGAGCAACTGGTTCTACTACTAAAGCCTAAGAAAAATAAGGCATTAAGTACTTCAGCCTTTTCCTTATCCTTGGTTCCCACTGCAATGTAATAAAGTACAGAGATTATCGTTAGTCGTCCTTTTATTGCTAAAGTATTTATAGAAATATTTTTTATTGTCCTTAATGAACGAAGCCAGATTAAGTTCTAGTTGGCATTTGGCCCCTTTAATTTTCTCCCTGCATAACCTCACAGCATGTTTGTAGTCCTCATGAGTAACCTGCCCTTTCTTCCAAAGACCATAAACTCTCCTTTTTTCCCTGAGTTGCAAACATCTCCCTCTCTTCAGCCAGGGTGGTTCTTTTCCCAGACGGCTCGTTTCTTGGCACATGGAAAGGGTCTACTCCTGCACTGTTAAGATTTACTTCTTGAAGAATGTCTAAACTCCTTTACCCTTCAGGACTGCTTCCCAAGGGACTCTGTAAACCAGACTCCTGAATAGACTGAAGTCTGCCCTCTGGAAGTCCAAGGTAGCACTTCTGCTGACTCCCCTCCTTGCTTCTCCAAGTATCAGAAACTCCATAATTTCATTATTGCTATGCCCAAGATGGCCTCCAACTCTCACATCCTCCCCAAGCCCTTTTCTGGACAACAAGTTCAGTGGGAAGCCTTCCCTAGTCAGCTTCCCTCACCAACTGTGTCAGGAAGATATCTTCATCACACTCCAGGAACCTCCTAGACTGTTCTCTCTCAGCTCTGTTGTATTTCCAGCAGACAGCTGGTAAATTGAAGTCTCCCATGAGGACAAGGGCAACAATCACAAGACTTCTCCCAGTTGCTTATAGAACATGTTATCTGCCTCTTCATCTTGGTTGGGTGATCTATAACCAACTCCCGCCGTGATATCAACATTGCTGGCCATCCCCCTGGTTCTTACCCATAAACTCTCAACCCTATTGGCATCATTATTAAGTTCTAAACATTCACAACACTCCCTAACATACAAGGCTACCCCCCTGCCTCTCCTTCCCTGCTATCCCCTCTAAAGAGTTTATAGCTGTCCTTTGGAGCACTACAGTTGTGCGAGTCATCCCACCATATCTCCATGATGGCAACTACATCATAGTTTTCCTGCACAATGGCTTCCATCTCCTCTTGGTTGTTTCCCATGCTGCATGCTTCAGTGTGTAAGCACTTCAGCTGGGCTATTGGTCTCATCACCCTTTTGCTGGGAGAAGCCCTAATTCCTACCCAGGAGCAGCCCTAGTTTCTAAGCCACTGATAACTCCCACACATTTGCTGCTCCATCCTCTACCTTCACGGAGTCAGCAGACTGAGGGATTTCACTAACATACCGTCCCATAAATATCGGTGTGCCACCCCCAGGTTAGCCTCTAAAAAGCGTGTTTTCATCCCTTTCTCCCTTCAAATCTAGTTTAAAGCCCGTTCGATGAGTGCTGCCAACTCCTGCACCAAGAACATTTCCCCTCTTTGAGCTCCCTTGCCAGGGACACGGCTTTTCTCCCATTGACAAATAGTCACAAAGCAGTTCTAGCTTTTTGTAGGTCAGTGTACATATGTTTTCTACCACATAGTAGTAGAGTCTTCTTGGCAAGATGACAAGGGGTTTTCTCTCAGACAGACTGTGTAGTTCCTCTAAGTTGAGACAAGTTTTTCCAGATGGCACAACTGAAGTCTGTTTCATAGATGTGACAACTGAAAATGGGGATTTGGTCTCTCACTGAACCAGTTGTTCAGGGTTCAGTGTTCATCATTGGAATCAACTTGACATACTATTTACCACTTTTAAAGGACAGAGAGCAAATAAGTAATTACACATTCCCAGGAGAATAACATATTAAGTTTCTTATATTAAGAACTCCCTCATGTGCTCCTATATTTCTCCTTGGCATCAGGAGGAAATCTCACTCAGAACTCTCTATTATCTTGAGCTCAGAGGTGAGCTTATGGCAGGTACCTTGCATGGAAGTACTACTCTGCTGCATATTGAACATCTTAAGAACAGGGGTAGTCTACTCAATATTTAGCAGTGGTTCATTTTGCCCACAAGACACTGCAACCATCATGGCAGTGACAAACTCCCTTGGCTGACATCAGAGGTTATTCATTACCAAGCTCAACACCAATATCGCCAATTATCTGTAAAGCTTCTAAGGAGTAAAGGTGAGAGTTTCCTGATAGGAAAATCCTTTTAGAAATTAGACATCTCTAAAAATGATGAGCTATAGTTAAACCTATTTTCACATTCAGCCATCACTTCTAGACCTTTTCTGAGTTTATGAAGTAGTCTCAGAAGGCTAATGAATAGCAGTGGTTATGAATTATTTTTATTACCTGGCAAAGGAATACTTCTCTTCACAACATACACAGAATGCTCTGACCCCAGAGGTCTGTTC